TGCCATTAATTCTTTTTCGTAAACCGATTTAGTCATGGCTCTTGGGGAGAATCCCTGACTGATGTAAGCCAATGGACGATTTGACTGCATCAAAACAGCCCCAATACCCTTCCCTGAGGCATCTGTACAAACCGTGAAGGGCTGCTGGAAGTTTGGCAATGCCAACACTGGTAACGAGCACATACAGCTCTTTAATGTCATGAAAGCTGCTTCTGCTTCCGAACTCCACTTGAAACTATCCTTCTTGAGTAAATTAGTCAGGGGCTTGGCTATTTTTCCGTAATCCTTAACGAAACGTCTATAATAGCCCGTTAGACCCAGGAATCCCCTTAATCCCTTGATGGTTTTAGGGATTGGCCACTCTGTCATTGCTTGCAGCTTGCTTGGGTCAGCACTAATGCCCTCTGCTGAAATAATATGCCCAAGATACTCCACATGGTCACTGCCAAAGCAACACTTCTTTTGATTAACTACTAACTTGTGCTGCCTAAGAACTTCAAACACCCTGCGTAAGTGTTCCTCATGGTCCTCCCTGCACTTACTGTATATCAGTATATCATCCAGAAAAACCAGAGTAAACTTGCGTAAAAATTCCCTCAGAATTTCGTTCATCAAGGCTTGAAAGGTTGAAGGTGCGTTTGTTAATCCGAAGGGCATTACTAAGTATTCGTAGTGCCCCTCGTGTGTCCTAAAACCAGTTTTTGGTATATCTTCCTCCCTCATGCGTATCTGGTGATACCCAGACTTGAGGTCTAATTTAGAAAAGACCTTTGATCCCCCTAATTCGTCCAACAGCTCCTCTACAACGGGAATAGGGAATTTATCTGGCACGGTGAATTTATTTAGAGCCCTGTAATCGACACACACACGCCAACTACCGTCTTTTTTTCTTACCAAAATCACCGGACTAGAATATGGACTAGTACTGTGACGGATCCAACCATAGGACATCAGCTCAGACACCAACTTTTCTATCTCAGTTTTTTGGTAATGAGGATACCTGAAAGGCCGGAGGTTGGGTATCTGACTTCCCGGTTGGAGGTTGATGGCACGATCACACGTACGCTTAGGTGGTAGGGAACTGGCTGCCTGAAACAAATCATGGAATTCCTGTATTAACCTTTGTAATCCATCCCACGGCTTCCCTTCGGTAGCAACTCCTTCTTTTTCTGAACTCAGGAAGTAGCCTTCCCCTTGATCATGAAGAGCTTTGACAATGGATTTGAAAGACACCACTGACCTTGACAAGGCACTATCCCCTTTAATCAACACCTCTGCTTCCCCTTGTCCAAAACGAAGGGTCATTTCTTTGTAGTTAGCCCTTATGTCCCCTAACTGATTAAGCCATTCCAGCCCAAGTACCACATCAGCCCCTCCTAGCTCGAAAAGGTAGAAATCTTGTGTGATTCGTGCAGCTTGGACCTGGAGTTCAACTCCCTTACAGACACCTTGGCACTTCACTTTGTGACCATCCCCTACCTCAACGTTGTACTCCGATGTGTCTGTCACTAGTAGCCCTAGCTTGTCCACCGCTGCCCGCCGTACGAAATTGCTTGTCGCGCCGCAATCCACCATGACCACAACCCTTTGCCCAGAGATCTCACCCCATGCCTTTAAGCTTTGGTTTGAAGTGAGCCCTAATAGACTGTTCAGCGACAATTGCAGAGCCTTCCCTTCATCATCTTCGCTTATTTGGTTCGGCCTCTCTACTTTCCCATCATCCTCCTTCTCTTCCCCCTCGTCATCATCGTCTACCAACAACAGATGCAGTTGTGGTACCCGACATCTATGACCCGATCTCCAACGTTCTTCGCACTTAAAGCAAAGCCTTTTTTGGTGACGATCTCGCCACTCAGACTGTGAAAGACGGCGACCCTGACTGAGATACATGTCCGGTGTACGATTTCCAGCGACGGACGTCGAGGCCGTAGACGAAGAACCTCCTTTCGTGTTCTCCGTCGGTGAATATTGGGGATTAGGGTTGTTCAATTGCGTATACGGATTTGGATTTGTTTGGCTTTGGGTTAAAGAACCGGTTGGGCCAGCATGTGTGGGGTTATTACTTTTTTTATGATCAATTGGGCCCAAAGCATTACGTTGGCCCACTTCTGTCCGTCCAGCGTTCGAAGCCCAACTCCGTCCCACTAAGCCTATCCCTTCCTCAGCCCAGGCTGCGTTTCTCCTTTCTATCTTCATCGAATATTTCACCATATCTGCCAAGTTCAGCGCCGGCAACATCATAAGTTCTTCTCTAATGTTGTTCTTTACCCCATTGAGCCAAGCGCCCTTGAGCAGCTCTTCGTCTTCAAACCGTAAGACACCCACCACTTTCTCAAACTCCATACGAAAATCAGCGACACTCCCCCATTGCTTGAGTGTATACAAAGCACGGTAAGGGTTATCTAAAGCCTCTGGTTGGAAACGGCTCAGCAACTCGCGCTTGAATCGCAACCATGGGGCATTTGGATTGTTACCCTCCCACCAGTGGAACCAAGTGAGGGCCTCACCCTCTAACACCACCAACACGGCACTCACCTTCTCAGCCTCCGTTACACCGTTAATGGTGAAATACCTCTCCACTTTACTCACCCATCCAAACGCGTCCTCTCCAGAAAACAGCGGAATCTCTAAACGTCTGGTCAGCAGACAATTCAGGTGGCCCCTTCTACGATTTCCTCCTACCTGAGGTTCGGTTTCGGTTTCCTCTGAATCATTTTCACCTCCTCGTGAACGACTCCTCCTATTTCTAGCCATTTCCTCTAATCGCCGAATAATCTTAGCAACGCCTTGCTCACTGGTCTCCATTCTTCGTAACAATTCTTCATGTCTAGCTTCGTTAGCGTCCAACCGTAAGCAAACCTCTTCCTGTCTAGCACATCCTCTCCTTAGTCCTTCTTCCAGAAAATCCAATCGATGTTCCATTTGTCTTGTCAAGACCATCCCACAGAGCTCCAAGATCGGAGCTCTGATACCAATTGATAAGGTTCTCAGATCAAATAACAGAAATCAAGCAAACCGATTAACAACTTTTCTGTAAAGGGAATCGATATACTATTTAAATGGTAAAAGCTTCAGTACACCACCACACAAGCAACGATTACAAGTAATTGAAAATAGTCTCAACAATTAACAAAGTAAAGAACAGATAGTGTGGAGCACATAGAGAGGCTCCACTCTCTCCCAATTCCCCGAAGGGACCCACAAGCCATATTCTCCAAGCGTGTCCCATTACTGCCTTTCCTTCCCTATTTATTCGTGCCTTCGTAACTAACTTGCTTCTACAATTCCTGCCACGTTGATAATCTGTTGAGGGGTAGTGAGGTCATCATCATCAGTGTGATTTCCCTTCCTAATTGCTGTGTCATCCTGGTTGGTCCCATTTGGACCTTGTTGAATGTTTGGGCCTTGCGGAATGTTGGGTCTGGGAGCCCAAATCTTCCTGTCCTTGCTCCTCTGATATACTTTTATTGGGATTGTATCAATTTAATACCGTGCTTGACCAAGTATTATATTTTTAAGTTCATTTTGTAAACAAACAGTATATAGATAATTCTTGTCATAGTATTGAATTGATGATGGGATTTTTCTCAAGTAATATGGAGGTGGTATTTTATCATAGGTTTAAGCAAAGGACAACCATACCTCCTCCATACATAATGGCAAAAACCACATGCATTTGGGTCCATGTCAATCACTAAAAATTTGCTGTCATCCTAGAAGTAGAGTGTAAACTTAACTTTCAAGGCTCTTTTTTTTAGAACTAGCTCAAGACTCTGTCTTCCTCTTATAGCTAGACTTGAACACACACTACACTACAACCACAGTCGCTTCTGCAGAGGCTGCAATATTTTAGGCATCATTTAGCAGGAGACTCCTGCTTTGCACAATAGGACAGCCACAAGCATATCATGTAGGAACTAAGGCTTTTAGGCTCTCCGAGGGTAACATATAGTTGCAAGGAGGCCTGCAAAATTTTCATGGACTAGTCAGATATGAGAAAAAGAAGTCCCCAACTAGTTTGGGATAAAAGTGATGTCCATGTTGATGTTGTACATACAAATCTTTCCCACAGTTGTTAAATTTCGTAAGTTTGATAACAACAAACAATTAGATAAAATTTTCCTACAGTTGTTAAGGTTGGTGGCTCTCCAGAGAAATAATTGATAAACTCACCAAATTTGGCTTAGTTCCCAAGTTTATATCCATGTGGGAGTCATATTCACAAACAAATTATGGCAGTGGGAAATTTTGGTACCTTAATTGTTTCAATCATGTTCCTTAGAAAATTAGCATTAGGCTCAACAACCATCAATTACTTGATGACTTTGGCACTGACAACCACCAGTATCCGGCAATAATTTTTTGCCAACAACCAATTAGTGAAGCTATCTGACCGATCAATTCTACCTGTGTGTTACACAAGCAACATAATCAGTATATACCATGTAAATGGATGATGATTATAATGATGATAATAATAGAAAACTTGAAGCATATGTTTGTGGAAACTTTTTCTTTTTAGTAATATTTGTGGAAACTTTAGTGCTGCAAATAAAGAGCAAGATGGGAATAAGACTCCTAAGAGAGTAAGAATTCTAATATTCTAATACTATGTTCGATAGCATTTCACCTGCATTATGCACCATAACACCATAACAGTTTTGCACAACAATTTCATCCGTTTTTATATGATTTTAACTTGTTTCTCATGAAATTCTCATGGAAGTCACTCTTTTAAGCCTCCAGGCTAAAAGATAGCAGCTAAACATTGAAATTGGCCAGGAAATGAGGTACAAGTGCAAGAGTTATGCTATATCAGTATATCTTGACATTTCTAAAGATTACAACTGTGAATCTAAATACCTATCATCCAGAATGGTGGTTGACTGCATGCACAAGAATCTGGTCTTCAGATATCAACTCATTATTCTGTTACCATAACTTTATGCAAGGAACCCAAGAGATCAAATTAGTAGCTATTAGGAGTCACCAATCATGACATCGTTGCTCTTCATAAAAGGCTCCACGCAAGCTCTTTCTTCATCCCAGTTCCATTCAACGAGCTTCTAATCTTTGTGACTTCTTCCCACTGTCCTACATCTGCACAGATGTTTGAGAGGGACACATAAGTTCCAGCATCACTTGGCCCCAATTCCATTACCTTTTTGGCTGCCAACTTTCCAAGCTCAACATCACCATTGACCTTGCAAGCAGCAAGCAAAGTTCCCCATATTAAAGCATCAGGCTCAACAGGCATCTTGTTAATGAAAATTTCAGCCTCTCTCAGTCTACCTGATCGACCAAGAAGATCAACAATACAAGCATAATGACGATGACCTGGCTTAATGCCTTGGTCTTCAAACATTGAATTAAGATAGAAGAAGGCTTCTTCAACCAGCCCACTATGGCTACAAGCCAATAGAATCCCAACAAAAGTTACTGCATCAGGTTGGACGCCTTCTTTTCTCATCAGTTCATAAGCAGCTAAGGCCTCTGCACCTTTACCATGTTGAGCATAGCTTACAATGATGGATGTCCAACCTATCAGGTCATGCTTCTCAGCATCATCAAAGGCTTTATGGCAATCCTCAATGCTTCCACATTTTGAGTACATTGTCACTAGTGAACTACCAACAGATATATCTGCTTGTAAGCCTGATTTTTCAATGTAGGCATGCAGTTGAGTTCCAATTTCTGACCGATACAAAAGTGCAGCAGCCCCGAGAATGGATGAAATTGTGAAGCCATCAACCGCTGCATCAGTCAGGAGCATATCATGGAATAATAATAATGACTCTTCAATTAAACCCTTTTGGGCATATCCTGAGACCAAGGAAGAGCAAGCAAATGCATCCTTTTGGGGCAGCATATCAAACACTGTCCTTGCCAAATTCAAACTTCCACACTTAGAATACATGTTTACAAGCGCACCACCTACAACTGTGTTTGTTCCCATTCCTAAACAAAAAGCATAACCATGAATTTCTTTACCTGTCTGCAAGAAACGAAGAGCAGAACATGCAGTTAAAGTTGGGATTAAGGTCAGGTGATCAGGTACAATTTCTTGATATAGCATTTCTTTAAATAGCTGAAGAGCTCGATCTGCATATCCATGCTCAGCAAAACCAGAAATCATGGAGGCCCATGAGACATTGTCTTTGACAAGAACTTGCTGAAAAACTTTATAAGATTCCTCTAAACAACCACACTTTGAGTACATTGTAAAAAGTGAACAGCCTAGGGTAACATCAGTGACTAACCCAGACTTCAAAGTGTAACCATGAATCTGTGACCCTAGATTTAAGCAGCTCATAATACTCAACACACTACTAATACAATACTCATCAGGTTTCACTCCTTCTCCTAACATTACAAGGAATAACTCAACTGCCCTTCCAGAATTTTGGCTTTGAGCAAAAGAAGACAGCATAGCTGCCCATATGCCCCGATCCTTCATATTTTCCATCTCGCTGAAGGCTAACTCAGATAGTCCAACTTCTCCTATTTTTGCATACATGTTGATTAAAGCAGCCCCAACCTTATCATCCAAACTGAACCCTAATTTTAATAACAAAGAATGAATTTGACCCGCCTCCTCAATCATCCCGGGTTTAGCACATGCAGAAAGAACACTAGTAAAAGTATAGCTATTTATTTCCTGCCCTATTTTTCTCATATCTTTGAAAAGCTTTAGCGCAGAAACAATATCATCCTCTTGCACAAACCCAGATATTATAGCAGTCCAGGAGACCACATTGTGGACTTGCATCTGGGAGAACTGTCTAAAAGCTTCACTCATACATCCAAATTTTGCATATAAATCAACGATAGCAGTCTCCACAAAGACATCTGTTGCACCGCATTTGATCGCCATCCCATGAACTCCTTCCCCAATCTGCTTCTCTTTGAGCACACAACATGCTGTTAAGATGCTTGGAAATGTAAAACTATTTGGCGTAAGAGATGCACAACACATTTGCCGAAACAGATTCAAAGCAACCCAGGTTTCTCCATTTTTAACTGCTGCAGAAATAATAGCATTCCAACATGCCACATTATCACATGAAGCATCATAAAATGACCTTAGAGCCTCTTTAAAGTTGCAATTTTTGGAAAACATATCCATCATTCGAGTCTGAACGTAACCGTTGGAAAGGAAACCATTTTTCATTACAAGTGAATAAACTTGCATGCCAAATATTGGGGCTTGCCAAGCAATACAGGCCGAAAGAACACTACCATAACTAAACTCATCAGGCTCAATACCAAGCAAATGCATCCTACAAAACATCTCCAATGACTTCTCAAACATTGAACTATGGTCGTAACCAGATATCATGATGTTCCAAGAAACAAGATTTGGAAGAGCAATTGTGTCAAACAGCTTGTGGGCTACAACCATGTCAGCAGATTTACAATACCAATCGAGCAAAGAGTTCATGAAGAAGATGTCAGACTGTAAATCATGAGTTTTAAGCAAATGGGCATGCAAGATTTTAGTGTTCCTGGTACTCTGCTTCCCTGGAAACTTGAAATCACGTAAGAACTCAAAAGGGTTGGACAAAGTGGACTTTTCATCAAGTTGAACACATGAAACGAATGGGTTTTGAACAAAAGCGAGGGAAGAGGTGAATCTGCAAGCAAGTTGTGAACTTTTCCTATGTAATTTTTTATTGATTAGCGAATTCATAAGGATCACACGAAGGGAACAGAATGTCACAGCCATGTCTACTATAACAGAAGAATCTCATCTAGAAACTGAAACTTACTGAATGCATTATATGATAATTTACATTGCTCCTTCAATTCAACATTCTCCACAGGTATCAAGCAACCAGCAAATAAAATATCCAAACCCTAATCCGAAAACCATGTCAAAATTAGATCTTCACTTTCCAAATCATCAAAGCTTAGGATTAATGTCCCACTATGAATAAAAGTCTAACAAAAGAGAAAACTCGAGTAATTCCACAAATTTAAAATCTATATAATTCATCAAAACTGTCTAAATTCCCAACAGAGCATTTCCCGCTCAAATTTCAGCTACCATTATCTTATTCCACAAATTTATTTTTATTTTTTTTGTTTTTCTTCTTATTATAAGTAGAAATGTCAAATAGATTTTTACAAAATAAATTATAATAAAAAGAAATCTTTTTTTCATAATGAACAAAAAAACCAAAAACCAAAAGATCTTTGGATGAGCTTTTTCTAAGTTCCATCAACTTTTTTTGAAATGAATAATTTCTTTTTGAAACAAACAGCTTTCAAATAATTTTTAAACTAAAATTTTTATATAATCATCAAACAATTTTTTACTATATTTCTAAAGCTTTTTTTTTTTTTTTTTAGTTTTAGCTTAAAAATAGTTTTTAGTTTAAATAAAAAAAGGTGCCAAAAGTGTTCATAACTTCCTTGAATTACATAGCCACTCCTATTATTTTTTTGATACATGCCACTCCTATTATTTAACTTATAAATTTTTTACCCACTTTATAATTTTAAAAAGAAAATAAAATACTTTCTTTTTTGTAGGGATTACACAAGTAAATCCCTAAACTTTTGGATTGTTGGCAAAATATCTTTGGATTGTGCAGGGAAATTTTGTCTTTTAGCTACTCAGCGTTAAGTTTTTCCGGCACGTATCTTTCTCACTTCTTAGAAAAGCATCCATGATAATGATATCCTTTTTGTTCTTTTTTTTTTTTTTTTGGTTCTCTATATTATTTCTTTGTATGCATCATTCCATCAGATCAATACAGATGGATCAAAAATGTATAACCGAAAGATAGTATTTACATCTTGGATCGGTATGCTCGCAAGAGTCTATGGAAGAGACGTCACAAGAAAAAATAGTTCACTATGCACAATAACAATGGCATATAGTTGAATGCGAGGGGTATGTGCATAATGTTAGCTAAGAGAGTATGGAGTTCAGATTGTATAACTGAGAGGCTTAACCCTTTATTTATATAAGGGGTTACCTGTAAGTGGAGTAGTGAGATTGTTGGAGAATATGATAAGTAGTCTTATACCGCTTATCCCTTTGGCATAGGATAGAGCATCATATCTCTTTTCTCTTCAGCTTACTCACTTTTCTTTAGTAGTAGCTTCTAGAAGCTATGAGGCCATAAGATGGGTCCAGTCTGGGAGCTTGGACTGCTGGGCTGTAATACTGCTTTGATAGGCATCGACTATGACCGAGGTGCTTGTGGTTGAGGTTTTATCTGATAGTATAGGCGTTGTGGCTTTGAGCCACCTTGAGCCGTGCATATGATGTATCTCAGCTAGAGCACTAGGTTATTGGTTCCTATTGTAACTAGCGAAGTTAACTTGGACCTTGCTAGTGTTATGCCTTAATTGAGCTGTGATTTTCTAGATGAGTTCCAACTTCGATTAGTTTTTGCGGGTCGGCTTCAACGCCAAGTTGCATGCTTCGAAGCGGCTGATAGGGTAATAATTGATTTGACGAGCTCTTGAGGAATTTAAGGAGTTTATCTCTTCGTGCCGATTTTTCATAGGTCCTCCTGTGGGTGGTGACTCTTGACTTTTCTTTGCCTGCTTTTACACGTGTCTTGTTTTTATTGGTGCATCGTGCATTGGAGAACGTGAGTCGCGTTTGTACACTACTAAATGTGGTCGTCTCCCTCAAAGTTACACATTTTCCCTCTCCAACTTTTCACTTTCGCACCTATATACTTACCCATTCAGAGCAATTTCCCATTTGTCATTTTGCGTCTTTGAGCCTCTAGAAAGTTTCCTCCCAAATTGCATTTTCTCTCGTTGTAGGTTGAGTGTCCAAAGGTTACCTCTTAGATTTTTGGATATGGCAAAGCTTCTTTTTCGAGACTTGGGTGTGCTTCTAGGAACGCTTGGCTTCAAAGAAATCTTTTTCTTCCTTCATAAAAGCATACATAGGTATTCCATTAAACACTTTCCCATTTACTCTTCGTACTGTTCTTAGTATCTTTGGGTCATTTTCTGGGGAGTTTTGCATCATTTATACTTTCTTGGTAGTTTCCTCATGGAGTTGTATTGTTTGAGCTTTTTGGTGGCTTTTTCCCCAATCCCTTTAAACGTTTCTGGGGTTGTGAACGGGAAAGAGGGTGGCGTCCACGTGCCAAGCGATGGTGAAGGTCTGAACGAGGACGACATGGTCATAAAGCTCCTTTCCGGAGTCAAATACTGGATTTTTGGGATTGATAAAATGAGGAAGAGACCAACTAGGTGCTCCTGAAGGGGTACTTGATAGCTACCAAAAATAGAGAGCTATTTGGTGTGTTTAATAGTGAAAAGTCGCTATTTTGACAGTTATTTTTATCATTTATGTTCACTTTTATGACAAGGAGTACTTTTTTGTATACTTTGGGCAGGAGTCATTCACTATAGTGGAAATTCATTTATAATTGGGAGCAAAACAACATATTTTGCTTACTTTTAGACTTAATTTACGTTGGTCTATTTCAAGTAACCCTAGCACATCTTTCAAAGGCTCAATAAACCGTCAACGATGAATGGAAGGAAGAAAGAGAAGGAAAGGACAGAAAAGACAAAAAATAGCAAAGGTTGAAAAAGCTAGCAGGAGATAGAAAAGCAACCTGCAACATCTGTCCTTGTCTGAAAAAGAAGCAGCGACACCAAACGAGGAGACAAGCAGGAAGGAGAGAGAGAGATAGAGAGAGAATTGTAATTTTCAGCACTACAACACTTGAATTCCACCAATAGTAGAGGAAAAAGCAGCTCAGAATATTCTGATAGGGCTGAGCTGGAAAATCCTATATAGGAGCCAATTGAATAATAGGTCGTTAGATACAATCAACGCCTAAGATTATCTCAAACTGGATAAGGCACCTACAAATACAGAAGAGAATACCACAATTGGAAGCTTTTGAGAAAGGACCTTACGTCCTACTCTGGTTTTCTTCTATTTTCTCTTTTTCTCTTAGTTTTCTTTTGTTGTTCTTAGTATATAATTAGGATTCTATAAAATGCTCCTTATTATGAGCCAAGTTCTTTCTCGTAAGCAAAGGGGACATAGAAATATCTCTCTAGGTTGGACTTTTGATGTAAGCTTGTTGCCATTAATGGATTTTGAGATGTTTCTATTTTATTGTTCCGGTTAACTAATGTTAAGGGAAGTCTTAGGAGATCAGCTCTCTAGCGAGAGAGATCTTCAGAACAAGAAGCATTTGTTGTGTTTAGAGTTGCTCTTTAGCAATCTTTGCATGCTGTCTTAGAAATAAGAAGCAAGCACAATCTTCCTAGGGTCCTAATTCAATAGGACTCCTGATGTTGTTTGGGGAATAGAAATATGCACAGACCATATTAGGTAGCAAAACTTGATGCTAGAGAAATCTACATTCAGTGCAATGAAGAGCACTCGAAGTTAAATCCCTTGGTGGGAGTGGTGCTGAGTCTTGGGAGCAACCTAGAGAGGCGAAAATACTAACGTACGCCTACATGTTTTAATATTGATATCATCTTACCTCTGTTTCATTGCTATTCTTACATTTTGTTAATTTGGAACAATAAAGGTTTTCTCAAAAACATTATTTTCTTTTCGCTCCATGTTCATTACTCTGTTCTTAATTTACTGGCTCTCAAGATCTGTTCCTTACTTGTTCGTTTTCTGAATTCTTCCAAGGCAACACATAACTAAGTCTCAGTTATAAACTCAGTTATTGACAATATCAGAATCGTCAACCCTGTTTGATTGAGCTGATGGCAAGTGCTTAAAGGCTAAACTGAACTTAGCACAATTTGGCTCCTTGGTTTGAATTTGCTCTCTATTTTCAAGTTTGATCTAGGTTCAATTCTTTCTTTTTGTACACTTTTTTAAAACATAACATTACAATTTTTCTTGAGGACGATAGATAGTCTGGGGCTCACAAAACCCTATATTGCTAGATGTGTAAGCTTGTACATTGTTGGCAGATTTGCAATAAGATAACTAATTGCTCATCAAATATTAATTTCGCTCTTCATATTTTTCTCCCCATTTAACCCGAGTAGATCTCGGCCAACCAAGCAGTACTGCAACTGGGGTGGCAAGAAGAGGCCTTCTCAACGACGGTGCGAATGTGGAGAGACTCTTTCTTCGAAGCAACAAAGGGTGATGGATGTGTTCTAGCGTGGATGGGCTACCGTCAAGAAGACGCCTCAGCTAGCAAGCGAGCTATCTCTGAAGGAGGAGCTTCTGCTAGTGGGCATGCTGCAGAGGCAAGTCAGGTTGGCAGTGCTGGAAGGGCTCCTGCTACATGACAGACTCCTGCTAAGGGATTGGCGACCTCAACAACTTGCCTTGTCCTTGTCAAACTTGAAGAGGAACTTGGGTCTGGGGTACGACACAATTGTGCTCGCCTTATTTGTAAAGAACCTTAGGATACACCACCCCAAAAGCTAGCTCAAGGGGTGGGAGTGCCCAAGGCCTTATAAAGGTCATATTAGTTGCCCATCCAATCAATGTGGGACTATATATCTCAACACGCCCCCTCACGCAAGAGCCCTTTAGGCTAGAAGCGTGGAAATTGCACAGGCCCATTTTCGGTTTACCTTTTTGTGCTTTTTTATTTTATTTTTAATTCCACTTTAAAGTGGGGGACGGTGAGGCTCTGATACCATGTAAAGAACCTTAGGATACACCACCCCAAAAGCTAGCTCAAGGGGTGGGAGTGCCCAAGGCCTTATAAAGGCCATATTAGTTGCCCATCCAATCAATGTGGGACTATATATCTCAACATTATTGTTTAACTTTCTGTATGTGGTTATGAGACTTAATCCCTATTAGTTACATAAGGGTGT